ATATTCACTCTCACTCTAGAATGGTAGTTTAATTGCTTCTAGGTTGACACGTGTTGTTGTTTTTTGTTTGTTTGTTTAATGCCATCTTTAAGATATTAGTGTTTTGGTCTTTTTTGCTGTTTGGCAATATGTAACTTACCACTTAAATTTTAAGATTTCTTTGTAGGTGATTCTTTTTTACTTTATTACTAGTTTTTAATATTTTATTTATGTCTTTGCCCAAAGCTTCACTGAGGTGTACCTAAGGATGTATTTATTTTTATTCCTCTTCTTTGGAACTCTGTATCTTCAGTTTAAAAATTTCCTTATGACTTAAATTCTGGAAACTGCATTGATTGACTCTTTAACTATTAGTGCCTCCTTCCTCATTCTTTCTCTCCTTTCAAAATGCCTATTAATATCTGGATATTCTCATTTTACACTCCAGGCTAAAATCCTCATTTTCATTCTGTTTAACATTGTAGGCTGCTTTTTAATTTTCCACAGATATATCTTCTAGTTCTCTCACTTGAGCTGAATTTAATCTTGTTGCATGTGTTGTATTAAACATTTTTTTTTTAATTTGAAAAGTTTTATTTTGGTTCCTTGAAAAAAGTGCACACCTCCCCTGACCTCTACTCCCAGATTGATCTGCTTTTAAAATTATGATCCCCTTTCCTTTTTATCTTTGTACTACAGATCGTTCTATTAAAAGAATAACCAAATGATGACCTGTGGGTCAGATTTGACCCATGGTCTATGTTAGTGCAACCTATGATTTAAGAATTATTTTTAAATTTATAAAAGGTTATTACAAAATTAAAGATGAAGAATAATTGACAAAGATCAAATGTAGCCTGCAAAGCCTAAAATATTTGCTTTATCCTTTTTTTTCCTTTTTTTTACAGAAAAAGTTTGTCAGCCTGTGTTCTGTTATCACCACTTCTTGGTTTGAACACCTTTCTGATTTTTGCATCTGCACATTCCACCTTATGGGTGTGTGTGTGTGATTGTATATATGTGTTTATGGTTTGTAATTTTTTTATTGTGAGTTTATCTTTAGTGTGGGTCATGGTAGGTTAAGGATCCCCACAAGAGAGGAAATGTATTATAAATATGAAGTCTTTGGATGTGGTATATACTGGAGCCTCAGCAACAAGAAGTACACTGGGAAAGAGACAGCTGAGAGTGGGCTCAGGTTTGAGATTAACAAGAGATCACCTGGCCATAGAGACAGGCTCTCAGTAGGCTATGAGAATGTCCAGAGTTCCTGCTGAGTCCAGGGTTCTCATCTAAATCCCGAAGGTTGGCCTTTAGGATACACAGTTAGGGCACTAGCATCTGGAGTCGCCAGAATGACAGTTGAGTAAGTACTCAGTAACCAAGTAGGGGGAGATCTGACAATATGCAGCAGCACCACTGACAAACTGCTCTATGCTCCGGGCCTAGCACGGTGCTCGGTAACAATCTGTTGAATAGATGGGGGAAGAACTGAAAATCAAGTCCACATTTGCAGTACTGATAAGTACCAGGTGGGTATCTGCTGGGAGCCTTTGCCCTGGACTACTAACCAGATAGGAAGAATCTGGAGACATTCCTTTAGTAGTTGTTTTGTTGATTTCCCCTGGAGTTTTGTACATGAGCAATTATATCATCTGCAAATGGGGCAGTTTTTACTTCTTTCTTTCTGATCTTTAAGCCTTTTGTTTCTTTTTCTTGCCTTAGAGCAATGGCTGGAACCTCTAGCATATTTCTGAATAGCAGAAATAAAAGCAGGCCTCGTTGCCTTGTTTCTGATCTTAAAGAGAAACAATTCAGTCTTTCGTAGTTAAATTTGATGTTAAGCTTAGGTTTTTTGGTGGTGCACTTTATTTTTGGAAAGTAATCATTGAATTTGTAGATTTGATCAGATTCAGGTATAATTTGTCAGCAGGGTCAAAATTAAAAAAGTCTAATTTTATCAAGAGATAATGTGGTATCTGGTTGTATCTTTTTGTGTTATTAGCAGCCATTTATGATTGTTGCCTATAATAGTTATTACATTAAGGTTGCAAATGGTAATATTCTAATTCTGTTGATTTCTTCTTCATTTATTAACTCGGATAATTCTATGGAGAAAATTTTTCTTCATCACCTATTTGGTTAGCCTGCTGTATATTTCTTATAGGAAGTAGAGAGAAATCCTTGCTTTTATTTTTTTAAATTTATCAGTTTTCACAAGACTGAGTTGGTTCTATATCATCCTTCAAAGGTAACAAATGCTTTTTAAGACATTAGTTATGGATTTACTATGTGTTTCAGTTCATTCAGTTATTTTTACTGATGCTAAGTAAGTGTGTATTTATTTAAGTTCTTTTAGAACTTGGTATTTTTTTCATTTTTCTTCTAGGTTTGTTGTTAGGTCTTCAATTCTATAATATATACAGTTCATATTTACTCCTCAGAACTGAGAACATAAATACACTCTTACTTGTGTGAGTAAAGACAAAAGGAGGATGTGTGAAAGGCTTATGTCTAATATCTTTGAATAAAGAATGGAACTGTTTGCCTTTGTATTACACTTCAGCTACATGGCATCATATTTAAGAAATCTTGGAATTTTGTGGGTAAAACCACAGAAGTCAAATTTTTCTTTGATTGGAACCTGCAGGAGAACAAGCTTTGGTGTCAAAGCTCTTATGTTAGAGGTGATATATGTCAGAATAGAAGTCATAATTTTAGAAGTTCCTTGGTAAAAATCAATCATGGGAAAACCCTGCTGTTCCTGTATAACAACAGAGGAAAAAGTCTCTCTGACATATATTGTGTATTTTTGATGTAATGTTAACTTCATGTGGCTTAGCTGTTTGACTTGAGGTGTGTGTACATAACCTTCTGAACACTCATTTAGCTTATAATATGCCAATTTCCTAGCAATTATTATTGTTCCAAAGTATAACATTTCACTGTTCAGCATCAGATATGTACACAAAGGGAATTAAAATTTATGGAGTTTCATGAGCTTAGCACAATGTCTCAACATAGTAAATGTCAAAAATGGTTTCTTTTCTTTTAGTTTTATTGTTGTTTTTTCTCTGATTATAAAAATAATATTCAAAAAATTTAACAAAATAGAGATTACCACAATACTGCCTACAAAGTTATATATTAAGTTGTATATCTAGATCTTCCTGTAAGTGTAGATACTCACAAAGACATATTTAGACGTTGAAGGTTATTCACATTTCCACTTTTCCAAAAAATACAGGGGGACTCTTTCAGGCAAAATGTCAGATGATTTTTTAAAAACCTATATGCTTTTTGAATGATTTGTATTTATGGCAATGAGCATATGTGTGTTTATATGTGCATGTGTTTATAGGGGGAGGGAAGGAGAGAGGGAGGGAAGGAAGAGAGGTGTATATATGAGAGAATATTTCTGAATGAAAGATACCAACATGGTTTAACAATTACAGGTTATATTTTTAGTGAGATTTGCATTTAGTGCATAACATCTGTCATAATACATACTAGCTGAACAGAGAACTGTGTATCTTACCAGTTTGTGTTGGTTGAGTTTTATGATTTTAAGACTTTTAAGGCTTAAAAGAGGTTCTTTCATTTGATAATCTTAGTCCACATTTCTTTGGAACTGCTAATAACCTCCTCTCTCCACTCACCAGTGTAGTGTTTGTACATGAACATATCTGTGTGCAAATTAATGACATGGAAAAAAAAGTTACTTTCTCTCTGGTTCTGTTAGGGAAAATGAATGGATCCTGGAGATGCTTCTTTTTTTGCTGTGATTGTTTTTGACAATAGTGTTGAGTAATACTTTCGTCTGAGTAGATGTTTAGAACATTTGATACCTTTTATTGGTGAATTTATAGAGGACTTGATTTTCTAATGAACTACAGCACATCTTTGGCAGGGATTTTTTTTTAATTTTTTTTTTTTTTTAAGAGATGGGAAGCAGAAGTTCAGTTGGGAAGAAGAATCATTTTGAATGGAAAAATGATTTTAAGAAAGAGACCTAAAGATATTTTATATCTACTGTTCTCATTGAGATAAGAGGGCACTTTCATTTTGATAGGAAAATTGGTTTTATATATAAAAAGCATTTCAAATGTCATTTGCTATATTTTAAAAAAGGCTTACTTCTCCAATGTTTGTCAAAGTAGCATTTTAACATTTTTTATTTTTAAGAAAAAAAATCAAGCTCTTTATTCAGAAGTCTTTTATTTGAACTAACCAGTTTATAAATTAAATTTTCTGTCTTTGCTTTTGCAAGGAATTTCTACTTTTAACAGGTAGAGACTCTAATCAGATTCTAGGCTTTGCCCATCACCACCATGCCTACTCTTTCTTAGTATGTCTAAATGGTCCGGATTCAGACACACTCAAGGGATTAAAATACAGTCTTTCTTTAGAACTATAGAGAGTATTCGCCCTTGAAAGCTATGTAAATTGCCATTAGAACATGAGTAAGGTGTTATTTTATTAAGTCCACTTTACAGCTGTTGTTGTGTGGTGGACATTTCAGTGAAAAGTAGGTTGGGGGAGATTCAGATTGGCCCTGGCTGACTAGATTTCTCCCAGGCCCCCAGGTGTGGGATGCCAGAGGGAAATAGGAGACCAAGGTCGATGGAATGTAAACAAATAAAGAAATTATAAAGCAGAGTTTTTTGTAGTTACCCAAATGTGGAAATGAGATAGAACCCTAGGAGATTCCTAGGTAAAAGACTAAATTCTTGTATTGTATAAATCATTCTTATGAAAAGGAGTTTTCCTGGGGTTTTTTTCTTTTTGTTTGTTTGTTTGTTTGTTTTGAGATTAGTCAATCATGTGTTTCTCTAGTTTCTGCCAAATCTCATTGCTAAAGTTACTAGATTGCTCATAGAAATCATTTCATCCATCACTGAATTATTCTCCAGCACAACTACTTCTTAAGTAGTTCATAAGGGTATTTTAATGTTCATAACGCAAGACAGATGTTTAGTACTGCTTTTCCTCAACAATTTTTGGTTTCCTTCAATTTCTAGGATGTGGGGAGCATCTTGTACGCACCATACTTGCTAGAGAATGTTCACATGCTTTACAAGCTGAAGATGCTCACCAGGCTCTTTTGGAGACTATGCAAAACAAGTTTATCAGTAAGTATAACATTAAGAACATTGTATTTTTCTAATATAGATTGCTTTACTGAGCTATACACTTCATGAGTCACGTACCACATTTGTATTGCTAGACCTAGGTCCAGAGCCTAGCATTGACTTAGACCCTCAATATTGGTCATAAAAAGAATCCATCACAGTAGCTACTACAGCATGAAATTTGCCATGTAACTAATCTAACGTGCAAGCTATGAGAGATATTCCTAGGATTTGAGTGACATACAGTAGAATAAAATTCTACTAAAATAAAATTTAAGGTATAATTTCCTTTAAAAGTTTTAAAATAAAATTTGACTTTTTTTAAAAATCCAAGTTTTAAAATTTAGTATTCATGAGTCCAGTGCTGCCACATATATTTGTGTAGGGTTAAGTTGAAATCCTATTCGGGCTCCATTTGCTGAACCATGTAAGGGTTAAAACGATTTGACTTAGTGTGGTTTTCCCATCACTTAACATTGAACTTATCACTATGCAAAGATATGGGAAGTACTGTAAATAATATAAAACATTAAGTATGTTAGAGTAATTAGCCATGAACACATAAATTAGAGAAAGAGTATCACAGGATTAATGAGGAGAATATGTCCACTTAGAGAATTAAGACAAGAGGATATAATAAGGTGTTAACTGTGTATAATAAGGAAAACACAGATGAAGTGTAGGAAGAAATCACTCCAAAAGGACTAAGGCATGATGGGCTCTTAGTACTGGCTCCGGAAGGCTCTGGGATTAGTGGGGAAAGAGGGAGAAGAAAGAAACATGAATGGAGACATGACAATAGAATTAAGCATGGCAGGGGGCGGCGCATGGTGGGGGTTGGACACCTGTGTGACTCTTACTTAGTATTCCTGATGTGTGGTGGGGCTGGATTGGCCAGGTGAGGCCAGGTCACAGAGGGCATTAGAATCTCAGTGTAGGAGTTCATACTCGATCTGATAGGAAGGAGAGAACCTGTATGTGTTCTTAAGCTAACAAAATGTGTTTGGTGGGGAGAGTTATAGAGTAGAGCTAAAGTTGTCCAGGTACCTCTCTGTAGGAACAAGACATTAGGGGCTGGGAATGGTCCAGGGAATGGAGAGGAAATGGTGATTTTGAGAGAGTCATCAATAGAGAAAGTAGAAATATTGATAAACTATGATTTTGACATTGGGAGGATATAGCCCTCTGGGTCCATTCAAGAGATAGAAACCATACATTACATTAATCAGGATAAGTTTAATATGAAGACTTGTTAACTATGATAAAAGTGTAATTATAAAATACAAGGAAACTCTTTGTGGTACTCTAGAGCTGAGAGACTGTTTAAGGAATGACATAGTTAGAAGGGGCTCAGACATTTTTGGAAAAGGTGTGGTTTGACCACCAGGTAGCAGAGGTTTGCTAGTTTGATCAGGGTGTCAGTGGTCTGGAGTAGCTGGGTAAACAAAAGGCCACACTCTAGAGTGCTGACAGGGAGCAGCTAATCAGCAGTGGGTGGCTGGGTGTGCAGTGCACACAGAGGTCACCAGAGCACATATGCCACAGGGCACTTGCAGCAGGAATGACTGCTTGGAGTTTGACCATCTGGGCCACAGGGGCTACATGTAGGTTGTGTGGCACCTTGACAAAGGAGTCCTGATGGGATGGTGTGCAGCTGCTGGGAGCCTCTGGTTTCCATGTTGAGAGGGCTGTGGATAGGTTATCACCAGGCTTATCCTGCAAGGTCACAGATGGACTGTGTTCTGGGTCTTGTGGCTGGGGCAGGCTTTACCAGGTAACCACACACCACACTGCCTCTCTTTGGCATATGCTGGAAATTGCAGGAACAGTGCCTATTTTAACTCTGTTTTTGTTCTCTAACTCAGATTAATGCCTGGCTCCTTGCCTTCATGCCACTAGTCCCCTAATCTCTTTCTTACATGGCACTTTATATTTGTCCCCGCTTCCGTCTTCTTTGAGTGGTAATTGGATTCCAGGGAGCTTTTTTGTTACTGGAAGAGGGACTGTGGTTCACAGTTATTCTCTTCCCATTGTAGGCTTTTGCTGAAATGGGACTTGCCCTGTACCTACCTGTGGGTTACTGTGCTCTGTTGCTGTTGAATTCAGTGTGGTGTTTGGCTTCCTTAGCACTGACTGCAGACACTACTGGTAGTGGAGCCAGCTGGTCTGAAAACTTGGGGTAGTCAGTGAGACTGCCAATTCCTTATGCATATCAGGCTACTTTTTCTGCTTTACTTTTGCTGGCGTGAGGGTGGTATGGGAATGGAGGACTTACCTACCTGCCTTTTTGTTTCTTTAGATTTCATCTATTCTTGGATCTTCCAAATCTACCTGGGGCTTTTTTTATTATATCTTCTATTTTCTCCGCCCTCGCCAGTTTGGGAAGAGGGACAGAAACCCACACCAGTGATCAATCTATTCTTTTCTTCTAGTTTTCTCACAAATATCCAGGTGTTCAATAATACCTCTACCCCAGCGCTTTGTTTAGGGTACTGGTGAGGGATGCAGCTAAGCAAGGGTTGCTCCAAACTATTTATTTTGCCAAAATTTAGGCTTCCATACTCAACAATATTTCATTTCAAAGCTGTCTCTACCTAGAATTTACAGAAGTGCATGTAGCAGCTCAGCTATATAAGCATGCAACTAATGGGATAAATAGAAGCTTCCATGGATGAAGCTAAAACTGAATTTCACTGTTGTTCAGGCCTTTTAATTAAGTTTCATGCCCTGTTAAGAAACATTTTTTAGGGAAAAGAGTAAGAAAAACAGATTATGGGCAAGAAGGGACTGTACTTACTTATTTGAAGGAAGAAATATTTGAGTAAATAATTGTAGAAAAATTTTAATATGAAGAGATTTTATGCAGGTGCTTTCTTGCAGTTATTTGAACTAAGTTTATGAAGACATAAATAATGGAATTACCTGTATGCATATTAGTAAGAATTGCCAAATGGCTAGTGGAAAAATGTAAATTCAGGAATGAGTTAGAAAGAGGATTTGGAAGTCTGCCTTCTAGTGATTTTCCAGAAAAAAGGTTGATTATATTTACATTACTATATCTTCAGGTATATCAAAATCAAAGTTTAGGTTATTGTTCTTTTGTTTTAATAATTACCATTGTTGAATGCTGTTTTTAAGGGAGTCCAAATTCTTGGCCTTAATAGCATATATAATTTATATAATGTGTTAGTTGTCCAGTTATTCTCAACACGTTCTAAGGGCATTAGTGGAAAGGAATAGTAAGGGGTGAAAACTAGATGTTCAAGAGAAGTTAACTTCCAGGGAACCATGTGGTAGCTGGGTAATTATGGCATATAACTTTCTACTTGCTGAGAATGACCTGAAGCACTTTATTGAATCTGAAATAGCAAATTCACTGGCCCTGGCTAGGTAGCTCAGTTGGAGTATTGTCTTGATATGCCGAGGTTGCAGGTTTGATCCCCAGTCAGGGCACATATAAGAATCAACCACTGATTATATCAGTAAGCAGAACAATAAATTGATATTACATGCTCTCTCTCTCTCTCTCAAAATCATTAAATAAAAAATAAAAGGACAGATTTACTAGCTACTTCTACCTCTCCAGAGTTGGGTCCATGCTAAGGAGTTCCTGAACTCCATTTTTTTCTCTTAGGTTGGTTGGTTGTACTTTAAAAAAAAACACCAAAAAACAAAAACTCTCCCCTTTAAAAGTATTCTCCCCTTTAAAACTACTTAGAGCATTTGACTGCAGTATTTCATTTTGCCACTGGATTCTATGATCTAGTGTATATTGAATCCAGTCCTAAAAATTCCAGATTCAAATTTTTAAAACATATCCAAAATCATGGATTAAAAAAACGTTTTCAGTTTTATTTTGTCTTCTTCTGATGAGTGAGGTTGAGCATCTTTTCATATTTTATAACTTGGCCTTTTTATTAATTTGTGAATTATCTGTGTATAGCTTTTGACAGTTTTTTTTTTTGTACTGGTTGGGTGATATTCTTTTAATTGACAACTAACTTTGATTAATGATAAAATTACCTTAAATGAAAGATTCTAAAATGGCACAGCAAAATTTTAAAATAACTCTTCTTTTTCTGAGTAGTGGTATGTTTGATATCTGTGACTTTCTGCACTAATAAGGGATTTTTTTTTTAAGTAATTTTACACTCGTGATGAAATAATTTGTTTTTAATGTATTTTTCTAAAGTTGTCAGTGACTTATTAAAATAAAGATTCTTTTCCATTTTTTGCATTTCGAAACAAACTCTGAAATTATCTTAAAAATAAGGTTCTTAAAAAATCTATGTTCGATAAAATGAGACTTTAATGTGATAGAATGAATAGAGTAAAATTGGAAGACACTTTGAAGATTTAACTGTTTTTGTTTCCTCTTGCATTACCATTATGCCAAGATCCAGAGCTTTGGTTTGACTTAATATAGGAAGCATAAAAGAGAGTAACCAATTCATGCATTTTTTAAAAAACCACTGTTCGTGTAACATACAAAACCCATAAAAGTGGGTACTGTAAAAATAGTGCCTTAATAATACTTCATGCTAACCAACTGATTATAGACTGAGTGCTTAGTTAAGTAGGGAAAAGAAATAAATAGACTTCCTTTTTAGTTGTGCTTTTTAAATGATTACACATATGCATACACACACAAGCCCTTACAATGATTCCGATGTGACTTTTCCTACTCTTGGTTATTTTTTAACAAACTTGGTTTTATGAATTTTTCTTTTTTCATGCAAACTGTAGCTACATGTGTGGTATTTGAACTTAAGGGTGGCATTGTAGCTTCCTGCCCTGTTCTCGACAAGTGATGTCACAGAACACTTTTTAGTTGGTTCTGCGCAATACTAAACATAATGGCTGATAAAATGTTATCTATAACAGGGGTCCCCAGCCTTGGGCCAAGGACCGACTGGTACTGGTCTGAGCCTGTTAGGAACCAGGGCCATACAGCAGGAGGTGAACTTGAATGTAATGCTCTTGAATCATCCCAAAACCAT